TACACTAATAATAATATGATACATGTACATGTACATATACGCACTATACATTGCACACATACATGTATATGTACATGTACATGTGCATAATATATACAAAATGCTAGTGTACATACTAATATAGCGCGTTAATGTCTTTACTTGTAGAATGATACACAATTTATGTTTTAATTTCTTTGATGTGTGTGTTTATTTCGTATCATTATAATAATGTTTGTATTTCTCATTATTTTTGACATAAACATTTACATTGTCCAGTGTGCATGTGTTGTACGTGTACATGTAATACGTTGGTTGTAATATGTTGGTTGTGATCAAAGCTATTGTATTAACTGTGTAAATTGTATTTTTAACAGAATAATGATTTGCAAGTTCGTTTGACTAAAGTACGTAACAGGACGATATCGGAATTGAATGAAGGGATGAAGGAGAAGGTTGATAAGTATGAGAAGGATAAGATCCAATTGAGCGAAGAGAAGAGAGAGCTCTCCTTGCAAGTTGAGTCACTCACAACTAAACTGGAGGAGTCTAAGAAGATACAGCAGCAGCAGGAAGAGGATCTAAAGGATGTAAAGAATCAGAAGGAGCTGCTCTCACAGGTCAGTGGGCATTCACATACCTGTTATGTGTGTGTCTGCTAGTATTCATTGATCGTTATGACAGCATGGGCTGGCCATGATTCATATTAGTAGCTAAAGCTCTTTGTGTAGCTAATGCACACTACAGCACATTAAACCATTGCTTGTTAATATTCAAATTATGGACTATATAAATGCGTGTTTTTCCTTTGTAATCCAATTGAAGTAGACATAATGTTATAGCAAAGGAAATATCATTGTATTCATCTTGTATGATGACTTTGTTTTCTGTAGTGGGAGCATCAAATTGCTGAAATCGTTCAACTTGTCTCTGATGAAAAGAACGCCCGATCATACTTGCAGACTGTTGCTAAAGGACTGGTTGAAGATGTAGAGAGCCTAAGAGCCAGTTCTTCATCCATTGGAAAGGTAAGTAAACTACACTTCTTATACATTTTGTGTACATACATGTACATGTACATGTACATACCAGTCATGTAGGATAGTCACTAACTTATAATTATTATGCCTCTTTTTCTCTCTCGTAGCAAAAAGAGGTTTGGGTTGAAAGGAGGACGCTGAGAAGAGACAAACTTGAGAGAGTTGAGATGCAGCAGAACTTTGAGAATGAGCTGAGAGCCAAACAAAGAGTTGAGGAGGAGCTGACGCACATAAGAACTCAACTGGCCCACACTGAAAGGTGAGACTGATTGAGATAAGTATGGAGGGGGTAGAGTTATTGATTCCATAAAAGGTTAATTACATCATCACTTATTTATTTGTTTTTTATTTCTAGCGATGTTGTGCAACTCAAAGCACAGATTGAGTCACTGCAGAAAGAGAATGAGAAACTCAATAAAGAGAATCAAAAGTATCGCATGGGATTAGGTAATCATTTTCAATGTTTGTATCATGATAATATCTAATGGTATTTGACTTACATGTATAGGGTCTCGAAATGACAGTTTTACAACTTCAATATTTCACCATCAAAGTGGGAATCAGCTTGAGACTAGCACTAGAACTGCACCTCAAAAACCCAAGGTAAAGTTACAAAATTAGAATGAAGTTTATTTTATATGAGTTCGTACCAATGTGCATTAAATAGAGTATTATTTTTGTTGTAATTTTTGTGTCATTAATTGTATTTTTTTTTCTCTTTATTTTCAGGTCATTACTGGGACTGAGAGGGAGGGCACTCATGAGTTGGTCGTGAGATCATTTGATTCTCCCACTAAATGTGATGCATGTACTAGTGTAATGTTTGGACTAGTGAGACAAGGAATGAT